AGCGGTAACCGTGTGCCTCAGGCTTCTCATCTGTGAAGTGAAGGTCTTCCCCTCGACTTGCCCGGCCTGCCCCACCTCCCCGCCCCCCTGCCCCCCCGCCTTGCTCCCTCACACACCTCTGCCCAGGCACAACTTAGCTCCCATCAGCTTCCGATCTACAAAATGGGGCTCCCGGCTGGCCGGCCAGCCAGCCAGCCCCCCGAGGGTGGTCTCCCCTACCCAGCACTGGGGTCATAGAATGAATGGGCTCATTCATTCTATGACCCCAACAAACTGTCAAATGCAAGGCTGGGTCTGGTCCCGGGGGCAGCCCATGCAGACGCTCCTCTCTTCCAACCAACCGTCCCTGAGCCCTGTGCACCTCAGCCTCAGGCGGGGCTCTGGGGCGGGTGTGTGTGTGTGTGTGTGTGTGTGTGTGTGTGTGCGTGCAGCGGGCCCAGGCCCTGCCCGCGGCAGCTCCCGGGCTGGGGGAGACAGGCGGAGAGGGACCGCGCGGGGCAGGAGCCAGCAGCGGTGGGTCCTGGGGAAGGAGCCTGCAGTGGCACTGTGGCTGGATCCGGTGGTACGTACAATAAGGGCTCCCAAAGCTATCAACATGCTAATCCCGAAGCAGTGGATGCTACCTTATATGGCAAAAGGACCGTGCAGATGTCCGTGCAGAAGGATTCTGAGACGGAGAGCTAATCCTGGATCGTCCAGGTGGGCCCTCCGTGCAGTCACCCGAGTTCTTACAGGGAGGAGGCGCAAGGAGATGTGACTCCACAAGAGGGGAGCAGGGGAGCTGGGGGGTGCGGCCGCGGGGCTGCCAGCAGCCGCCAGCCGCCGGGAGAGGCAGGGAGAGCTCTCCCCGGAGCCTCCGGGAGGAGCGGCTGCCCACACCTTGGTTTTAGCCCCGTGAGACCCATTCCAGACCTCTGACCTCCAGGACTCTAGGAGGATGCACGTGTGTTGTTTTAAAACCGCACAGCCTGGCCCTGGCCGGTTTGGCTCAGTGGATAGAGCGTCGGTCTGCGGACTGAAAGGTCCCGGGTTCCATTCCGGTCAAGGGCATGTACCTTGGTTGCGGGTGCATCCCCGGGGAGGGGTGTACAGGAGGCAGTTGATCGATGTTTCTCTCTCATCGATGTTTCTAACTCTCTATCCCTCTCCCTTCCTCTCTATGGAAAATCAATAAAATATATTAAAAGAAAAAATAATGAAGTCCGTTGATTTGTCGGAGCAGCAACGGAGAACTCCAGTGTCCGTGCGGAAGGGTGGGTGGGAGTGGCTCAGGGAAGTGGGCGAGGCGTGAGGATGAAGTTATTGCACCGTGAACTGCTCCGGCGTAAAACAAAGTCACCCCGAAGTTCAGTGTCTTGGTTGCTATTATCCGTAACAAACTGGTTGGGTCCCACTGACCTGACAGGCAGAGTTCACACAGCGGGCGGGGTGTGGGGCTGGCCCCGGGGGCAGGGGCAGGCAGAGCAGGCCTCTGCCTGTTGTCCCCAGGCCTCGAGATCCTGTGGCCATCACTGGGCACACCCTGGCTCCCGACAGGGATGGTCACCAGGCACCAATGGTGGGATCTGTCTGCTCGGGCCACCAGCCCCTCTTCCCACAGCAGCCCGAGTGCCACGTGCACAGGCCACCACAGCCTCAGCCCCGGGCCCCCTCACACCCCTCGCCCCGGGAAAGCTAACCCTAGAAACACATCCCTGAGCAATCAGAATGGGAAGCAGTAACGCAGCCCAAGCCTGAGGCTGGCTCCTTAACACCTCCTGGATTAGCTGGAAAGGCAGGGCCTGAGGCCACAGGGAAGTCGGCAGCTTGGCCAGAACCGAAGCAAGAGGAGCCCAGGGTGTCACATCAAGACAGAGTTAGCACCACACTTGAGGAATTGGGGGCACGAAAGGCAGGGGCCAGGTGAGACCAGCTACAGACAGACAGACAGACTTCACATCTGCCCAGGCCCCAGACGGCAGGAGAGCAGCAGGGGGCCGGGAGGTTTGCAGACCTGCCCTCTGCAGGGGGGGGAGGGGGGTGCCAGGGCCGGCTGCTGAGCTTTGTGTATGACACTTAGGGGTTAGGCGCTTCAGGGAGGCGCAGAGAGAGACCACCCCCACAAGGGGCCTGAGGGGGTCACACCCACTGGCACCAAGAGGGGCTTCCACTTCCATGGGGACCCCATTTCCTTTCAGCCTGCTTCTCCCAAATGCAGCCCCTCCTTCCTCTGCAGGCCCTGCCTCCCGGGAAGAGACTGATGCTGAGAGTGGTATGATTCATTATAATGGCTACCAAACCCCATTAGTAAAGCCCGTCAGGGACACTTTTTTTAAGGATTTTTTTCCCACTGATTTTTCCAAGTGGAAGGTGGGGGTGAGAGAGAAACGTGAGAGACACATCGATTGGCTGCCTCCCACACTCACCCCAACCTGGGACAAGGATCAGATCCGCGCCTGAGGCCTGTGCCTTTGACCAAGAACCGAACCCACGACCCTTCAGTCCATGAGCCGATGCTCTACCCACTGAGCAAAACCAGCCAGGGCTTCAGGGACGCTTTTTTTAATTTTATTTAAATATATGTTTTTATTGTCTTTCAGAGAGGAAGGGAGAGGGAGAGAGAGAGAGATAGAAGCATCCATGAGGAGATAGAATCACTGACCAGCTGCCTTCAGCACACCCCACACTGGGGATCAGGCCCAAACCTGGGCACAGGCCCTGACTGGAAACTGAACTGCTGACGCTCAACCGCTGAGCCCTGCAGACTGGGCCCTAGCGACACTCTTACACTGACTCGTCCTTCCCTGAACCCTGCACCTGGGCAGCGTTTATTCCCATTTCGCACATGAGGAAACTGAGGCTCGCAGAGAAGTCCCTGCCTCAAGGTCATGAACAGAGCCAGGTTCTGCAGGGGTAACAGAGACACTGGGGGGGGGGGGGTCATCCAGAGGTTCCCTGTGCCCTCCGGACCAGAGCGTCTGGGCAGTCCTGAAGGCTTCCCGTGGGAAAAGCAGAGGCCGAAGCAGCCAGAGCAGCGCTGGTCGGGGAGCAGAGTCTGGGTGTCACCCCCAAAAGCCCGCAGGCCTCTCACAACCACAGTGTCCAACCCTACACCTCGCCAACATTGCCCAGGCCTACTCCATCTCATTCAGGGCTCCCCCACCTATCCTTCCCCAGGCTGGGGCGGGTGCCGTCCCTGAGCGACCCCCATTTACCCCAGCCCTGTTCTGGGGGCCCGTAGCAGATGCCCCCCAGTGAGGAAGTGGGGGTGGGGAGTTAGGGAGCTCTGGCCTCCACCTCACGGCCCCCCCAGCAACCCACCCCCCACAGCAGCCGGAGACGACCATCTCACACACATCTGGCTGGTGAATGCCCTGCCCGGACTCTCCTTCCGATTCACACCCCAGGCTTGTGCCCATCTGCCCCCGGGGCCAGCCGTGTCCTGCCCTCTCTTCTGCCTGGTGAACTTTTCATCCTCGGAGACCCCACACCCAAGTATGGAAAGTAAAATCCCCCCAGCACCAGGCAGGGCTGGCCTCCCACCTCGGCTCCCAGCAAGGATGTGACTCTGGGCAAGGGCTTGTCTGGGGACCCGCCTGCCTCACCCTCAGCAGAGCTGCTCCTCAGGGCATCACCCCACCTGGGCACCTTTGCCCTGGCACCAGCTCGGGCCTGAAGCAGCAGCAGCTGGTTCCACCCTCCTCCGCCCACACCCACACCCTCTGCCAAGCCTCCCACCCCCACCCAGACTTCGGGGAGGGGAGCAGGTACCAGGGGAGGGGAGCAGGTACCAGGGGAGGGGAGCAGGTACCAGGGGAGGGGAGCAGGTACCAGGGGAGGGGAGCAGGTACCAGGCCCAAAGACCCTGAGATGGGGGAGGGGGGGTGTTCACCTTTGCAGCTGAGCACAGCGGTTCCCCCTGGAGGCCTCCCACTCCAGCCAGGCTGAACCCCACCCTCCCACCCTCGCCTCCAGGAAGTGCACTGGGATGTCTCCATCCCGGGTAGCCCAGGAGGAGATGCCCCTGGCACTTCGCTCTCCGCCGTTGCTGGTGCAGGGAGGGAGAGGATTCTGGCTTGAGAGCCAGGCGACCCAGGTTCAAATTCTGGCTCAGCACCCCTGACGGCAGCTCCCTTCACCCTCAGGTGCCCTCTCTCCTCATTCCTGCGGGGTGAGGTGTACAGTGTGTGGACGGGGAGGAAGGAAGCCCGGAGAGAACTTGGCACCTGCTAGCGATCGATCCTTCTTCATCTATGGACCCCAGGCCAGGCGGGGCTCCTCAGACCTCCTCCGAAGGGCCCAGGAAGGATGAGAAGCCCCAGAGCCACTCTCCCGCCCCGCCCCGCCCCTCACACCACACCCAAGCCCAGCGGCGGGGGCGGGGGAGGAGGCCCCAGATCCACAAGCGGAGGAGGAGGGTCAGGAAGAGAATCCACTGTGCACCCCTTTCCCAAGCCTCCCGGGACGGGGGTGGATGCGAGGGAGGGAGGAGGACACCCAGGAGGGGTTGCGCAATTGACGGGCGGAGGGCTGGAAGGAAAACGGTGAGGCACTGAGGGTCAAGCCCCCGGGTTCAACCGCGGGGCGTCGGAACTAGGAAACTAGCTCCGGAACTCCGGGGGGTGGGGGGTGGGGGTGGGGATAAGGGTGGGCTGGGGATGGGGATAGGGGTGGGGGGAGGGCCCTGGCTGCGGGGTGGAGGGTTGGGTGGGGACGAACCCTGGGGGGCCCCGTCGGGTCCTCCGAGCTGCTGTCCTCGGGGCTGAAAGCCAGCGCTCCCCCCCTTGCTCCCCGGCGGGCGGAGTGTGCACAGCCCCACGGTCGGCGCTCCCCGGGCACGCGCTGGCCGGCACTGCTCCCGCACACACCGCACACACACACACCCGCGCGCACACACACCCCGAAGCACACGCACCGGCACACACACACCCGCTCACACACACACCTGCTCACACACACACCCGGCACACACACCGGAGCACGCGCGCCCGCACACGCCTCCCTCCGCGCGCGCCTCCTACCTGCAGCGCCGCCGCCGGGCTCCGGGCTCCGGGCTCCGGGCTCCGGGACGCGGGCTCCGGGCGGGGGCTGGGCTGGGCGGGCCGGGCAGGAGCCTCGGTTCGGTCCGGGCCGGGATCGGCGGGGCTGCAGCGCAGGGGCCGGAGTGGGGCTCCCGCCGGCGGCACCCCGCCCCGCCCGCCCCGCCCATCGGCCCGGGGCGTGGTCTCCGGGGGCGGGGCCGGCGGCGGCGCATGCGGACTGGCGCGGCGCGGTGGGCGGACCGCGGTGAGGCGGCTGCGGAGCTCCCGCTGGGGATGGGAAGGGGTTTGGGGGCCCGTGCGGCTCAGCATAGCCGCCCCCCCAGCCCCCCGGGCTCGATCGGGCCCGTTCCCTCGCCCTCCAGCCGCGCTCTGCTGCGGTGGCATCGCCGGGAGCCCCCGGGGCCGAGCCCCGGCGGCAGGTGGCCCCGCGGGAGGCGTGCAGGCCCCGAGCTCCGGGCCGCCGGGCTCCGGGCAGCGTCTGGGACCGGGAGCCGGCCGGGGCCGCGGCGGGGGCTGGGAAAGAGCGACCTGGAGAGGCGAGCGCCCAGCTCTTCCCCGTCCCCACGTCCATGTCCATCCCCAAGGCTGGGCTGGAGGAGGGGTCACCAGACCCCTGGCGGCGCTAAGGGACCTGTCTGGTGGGGAAACCTGGTTCCAGGCCCGCGCTGAGTCTTGTTTCAGGAATGAGGCTGACAAGGCTTCTGAGTGACCCATTCCGCACACAGTAGGGGCTCGGGGCTTCCTCCTCACTGCTCTGGGACCACAGGGCAGACACGCTGTGGCCTGCTCATCTGAGGCTGTATCGGCCCCTTTCCCAGAAGGGGACACTCAGGCCCACTCATCTTCCCCGCAGTGCTCCCAGTCTGGGTTCACGGTTTCATCCTCCTCCCAGTCGCTCAGAGTAAGGGGCCGCTTCCACCATCTCGCAGCCTCTGTCCAGGCCTCCCGGGCTTCTCTCCTGGTGTGGCTCCAGCCCCTCAGGCGCCTCCGATTCAGCCCGGGAGCTTCCCGTTCGCAGCCACGGCCCACCCCCCTCGGCAGTGCTCCCAGTCTGTGCCGTGTCTGACTCTCCACCGTATTCCAGGGCTGTGCCTGGGACTGCCGCCTCCCCAGGCCCTCCATGCTCCTCTCAGCACTGGGCTCTGCCGCCACCCTCAGATATACTGCTGTGCCTGCCCCTGTCTGAAAGGCTGTTCTTTCCCTCCCCACACACATGTCCTGGTAGCAGGCCTCAGCTCTCACGCCAGGTCTCCCCCTCCAGCCCACCACGCCTTCAGCATTCGCACCTGGCCACTCTGTCTCTTGCAGGGCCCTGCCCTCCTGCTGCCCGGGGAGTTGGTGGCAGACTCCGGAGCGCCAGGCTGAGGTTCCTCCGGTGGAGACAGGGCTTGAGGCGCCAGGCAGCTCTGGGCTCCAGCCTCACTGCCAGTGACTGGCTGTGTGATCCTGTCTTTTCCAAGCTTTGCTTTCTGGGCTGTGAAACGGGCGTCCAGCAGAAGTGAGTGAAGATTAGTGTGGGCAGGCCGTGGGGCCCAGGAAAGCCCCGTCACACAGGTGTTGAGCAGCGTTGCCTCTGGGCTGGGCGACTCCCATGTGTTCAAAGTGACGCCGGGGGCATGTCTGAGAAAACGGTGGCGATCAGAGGATGCTTGGGCCCCTTTCCTATTTCCGTGTTGGAGCCTCAGGAGGGGTGACCGGTGCTGGTTGCAAGCATAGACTCTGGACTCACTGCCTGGGCTCATAGTAGCTGTGCGACCTTGGGCAAGTGACCCAACCTGTCTGTGCCCCAGTCACCTCACCTGCAAAATCGGTGTTACAGCACCACACCACACACACCACACCACACACACCACACCACACCACACACACCACACCACACACACCACACCACACCACACACACCACACCACACACACCACACCACACACACCACACCACACACACCACACCACACCACACAAACCGTGGGGGTGTGGACAAAAGGGGCCACACACTAACCTGACAAGCTCAGGAGCGGCCTGCATGGCCGTCTTGCACACTCAGAGACCTAAAGTCACCACGAAGGATGGCCTGAAATGAAAACTTTAACTAAAAGCTATTATGGTGGGTAGTCATCTCCTCGGCCATAACTTCACTGACAAGGCCAACCTTGACCTTAACTGAGCCCATCTGTCTTTTTGCGTCTATGATAACATGCCTTTGAAATGTCTGGGTAACTTGTAACGTCCCTTTTTCTGGAGCCCTTGGGACACAGCCTAATGTGCTGGGCGCCAGGACAGAGACCACAGATTCCTTCATTATCGTGTTAATTGTTCCTGCACCCGCCTAAGTATGTGTCATTATGTCACTTTTTATCCGATCCCAGGGGTGCCCTCCCTTTGCTTCCTCCCGCCTCTTTGGTCTAAAACCCGTGGATTTCCTGTAACCCATCTATGTCCTTCCTTTGGTTGCAATGTATAAATACAGATGTAACCCGCTATTCTCCGGAGCATTATCTCAATCTGTTGAGGTTCTGCTTCCCGGCAATTGTCGACAGATCAGCTCAAATAAACTCACAAAAATTCTTCACAGGTTTGAATGTGTTCATGTTAACAGGGTCCTTGTGGGGTCATGGAAAGCGCTAAAGTGCTCCCTGGTTCCGACAAGGTGCTCAACATCCCTTAGCCAACGTTACTCTGATCTAGCCCACCCCCCTCATTTTGTGAAGACTCAGGGTCCCCAGCAGCAGAGATGTGCACGTGTGGCTAGTTGGGTGCCCAGGCATCCCAGCGTGTTAGAACTGGGAATCCAACACAGAGCCCAGCCCTGGAAAGAGACAGTGAGCTGTCCGGGGCACCCAGCCTGGTGGGCGGGGGCGGCATGGCTCTGCCCTGGTTTCCAGGGAGAGCCTGGCCTCCTGACAAGTTCGGGGAAGGGAGGGGCTCCCCTGAAGCCCTGACCCCAGGACCTGCTGGCTGGTCTCATGAACTGAGTCATCTAATGGTGCCATCAGGGCAGGTGCTTTCTCTCTCCTCCCCACCACCCTTTTGCAGGAGCCTCATTGGCTCCATTTTGTTGATAACAGCACTGGGCCTCGGGAGATGCCTGGGGCACACAATTAGGAAGTGGCAGAACTGGGATCCATGCTGCCTAGTCTGACTCCATCCTTGTGCCCCTCCCCTCCCTCCTGCTCTTCCTCTCTCCTCCCCCAGGGAAGGCACCGCTGTGGGCTCCTGGACTGGCTGTCCAACCTGCACTCCCTGTGACGGGGCTCATTCCCTCCCGGGGCAGCCCTTTCCCCTCCGCAGGGCAGGGAGGCCTTTGCCATCAGAGCTGACCCACCCCCTCTTCCTGGTTCTGCAGGAGACAGAATCTCCTCTGCTCCAGCTGGAAGCCCCTGTCTCCACGGCTCCTGTAGGTAACCCAGCTGCCCCTGTGAAACTCTTAAAATAGTAATAATTCCCTTAAAGACCCAGCAGATCTCATTGCCAATCTCGTTTGAGAACTCTAAGAACACATAAGGTCTGGGTGGAATATTCATGTGACCACGCTGACCAGTCTCCCCACTCCCATCTATACCATCTAGAGGAGGCCAAACAGAACTTTCCGGGTGGAGGGGTTGCTAAGGTATTCTCCTGAGAGTGCACAAATGGGAGGGTCACATGGGACTCCAGAGCTTTCTTTTATTTGTCTACTAGAGGTCTGGTGCATGAAATTCATGTATTCCACAGCCCAGCCTGCACTCTCTCCAATCTGGGATCCCTCGAGAGATATCTGACGCCATCCCTCTCACAATCCAGGATTACTGGCCCCCAACTGATTGCCTGCCTGCCTGATTACCCCCTAACCACTCCCCTGACAATCTGATTGACAATAACTGCTCCCCTGCTGGCCTGGTCACCCCTAACTGCCCTCCCTGTAGACCTGGTTGCCCCCAACTGCCCTCCCTTTCAGGCCTGGTCCCTCCCAACTGTCTCCCCTGAAGGCCTGAGTCCCCCCCAACTGTTCTCCCCTTCCAGCCATCTTGTGGCAGCCATCTTTGATCACATGGGGGTGGCCATCTTGTGTGTTAGAGTGATGGTCAATTTGCATATTACCTCTTTATTTTATAGGATAAGTGTTACTATATCTCTTTTAAAAAAATGGATTGATTTTAGAGAGAGGAGAATGGAGAGGAGCGAGAGCGAGAGCGAGAGTGAGAGAGAGAGAGAGAGAGAGGCTGATTTGTTGTTCCACCTATCCATTTACTCACCAGTTGGTTGATTCTTATATGTGCCCTGACCAAGGATCAAGCCTACAACCTTGGAGTATCTCTAACCAACCGAGGCACCCAGCCAGAAGCTATCTCCTTGTTTTAATTTGGTTTTTGTTGTGATAATTAATAATTTAGAAGACCTCCTCATGTGCTATTAAATTTTAGAGTTTCCTCTTCTGGACTTGGATGTTCCTCTTTTGCCCACGTTTCTGCTGGGTTTTGTTGTTGTTGTTATTAATCCTCACACGATATTTTTTCCATTAATTTTTAGAGAGAGTGGAAGAAAGGGGGGAGGGAGGGAGAAAGGGGTGAGAAAGAGAGAGAGGGAGAGAGAGAAACACTGATGGGGCCTTGACTGGAATCAAACCCAAGGACCGTAATGCTTTACTCACTGAGTCAAACTGGCTAGGCCTCTTATGCTATTTTTATAGTTGTACATATCAAATTTAGGGCTCTAACCCAGAGAGAGTTCATTCTTAAATGCAGCATTAAGTAAAGACCCAGTTGACTGAGGCCTAGAGTGAGACGCACCACCGGCTGCATATCTCCATCTGACTCCACGTGAGGTCCCCCTCTGCAGGGCTGCCTGTTTATCAGTCTGTCCCAGCACCACGCTGTTTGTATGGCCGTGGCTTTGTGGTCATATGCAGTAAGGCAAACGTCATCTCTAAGTCTTAATTTTTAAGTGCCTTAGCTATTTGTTTACATTTTAGCTTGCTGAGTTCCTTAAAAAAAAATCCATATGGAATTTTGATGAGGGCTGTTTTGAGGTTAAAGATTAATTTGGGAAGACATGGCACTTTCTAATACTATGTGGTTCCAAACAAGAACATCTTTCTAATCAGGTCATTATCTATGT